AAAAAAAAAAAAAAAAAAAAAACTTTAGAGTAGAAGTGCGAAGGTGGTATGCGAGCAATATACGGAAATTCGCATACCCATCGCATAACTGAAATAACTGAAAGATGAAAGAAATAAAAAATAAACTTTAGAATAGAAGTGCGAAGGTAGTATGCGAGCAATATGCGGAAATTCACATACCCCATCGCATAATTGAAATAACTGAAAGATGAAAGAAATAAAAAATAAACTTTCGAGTAGAAGTGCGAAGGTGGTATGCGAGCAATATGCGTAAATTCGCATACCCCATCACATAACTGAAAGATGAAAGAAACACGAAAAAAACTTATTATGCACCAACTCTGCGAATAATATGCGACGTTGGTATGTCGCAGTTGTGTCGCAGAATAATTTTTTCGACTAATAGTCGCAGATTCATTCGCCTAACAAGAATAATTATTTAATGGGTGACGGACCGCGATTGACCGAATCGTACATCGAATCTCCGAATATTCATCGTAGAACAGTCGCATACTTTAACTCACAATTTTGCTCATGCTCATACATGTCGCCTATTTATCGCATAGTTCATCGCATATGTCTTCGTACTTTTTGGGGTGAAATATTTAACTTTTTATTGGGTGGTGTGAAAAACTTAGTATGACTTCATAACCAAGTGAAAATAGCTATTTCCTCTAATGTAGAATACCATACATACGTATTATTTGCGTAAAATGTTAAAGGGAGTGTCATCTTTCTCGATAAAATAACATAGAAACAAAAAATGAAATGGGCCATATCAAAGCCCATCCAAGAAAGCCGAATGTAACACAAGGTGTAGCGGGCCACCTGCACATTGTTGGTGGTGTTGGAGATGTAGGTTTCCCTCGGCCACTGCAAGTGAGCTCTGTATTAACAACAACAACATGATGATTCGTTTGAGAGCTTTCAGTATGAGATGTTTTGTTCGTTCATCGAATAGGATGATTATAGGAGACGTAGTTTTTTTCTCTAATAATCGAATGAAGAAAAACAGCAGCAGCAGCAGCAGCAGAAGCAGAACAGATAATAAATCGCATTATGTGGCGAGGAATCGGAATTCTTCTTCTGATGATTGCGTAAAGTCGCCTTGGCTTATGCTCTCCCCCTCCGTGGAATGCGGCGGCAACATGTTGTACAATTTCTACAATTTGGCAGAATCCAAAATAGAGAGAAGAAGATCAACCTTGGATGGAGACGATATTGATGCCAGATTTGTGGGTTCGTCTCACGGCTGGATAGTTGTGCTGAACCGGCGCAACCATGGGCTGCTCCTCTAGAACCCCATCACTCACGTACGCATAAACCTTCCATCCCTCCTCACCTTGCCCGATCCCCAAATTAACTGCTGTGGGATCGTATCCAAGCTCATACTTTCCTGCTCCCCTGACCACCACGACGTAGATCAATGTCGTGCCATGATGATTTTTGGGCCCATTAACAGGCTGGCTTTCTGCCAGCCCGGCCGCAGCACCCACTGGACCCCCATCGGCCATTTGTATTGGAGTAAGAATTTGTATCCGGAGGCAAGCCGCCATGACGACAATGAAGACTTCTATGCCAGGCAGTACACCGATTGCGTCTATTCCACCACACACAAACTCTTCTTCTGTTATGTCATGTGGAGATTGGAGTGTTGGGATCTTGGGGATCCCGATAGCCCCAGAATTTGTTGGTCGGAGATTGTAGGTCATACGCCTGGTGTTGCTACTAAACAAGAGATGATGGCCCTCTCTTTTACTACCACTGGCAGATTACCAGAGGCGATGAGACAGAAATTCCTTGTTGTGGCAGATCAGATGAATCAGCTTTTCCTCTTGGATCGGTATGTATGCTTACGGATGGGCCCTGACGGTACCTATCGTCCGCATATCTACTTTGGTAAGTATAAGGGTTGGGATGACAAATTCCCCCACCAAACCTTTGCTTTCCATGTTTTTAAAGTCGACTATATTTCGGTCGAGGGTACTCAGCCCAAGCTTGTTGAGACTAGCGTGGAGGGCTCGCTGGATGGGATGGCAATGTTTGTTGGCAAGAACCACTCCTTTGCCATCTCCACACCAATGAACCATGGCCTGAAAAATGATTGTATTTACTTTACTGACACAAATAGACACCAGCCTCCAGCGGGCTCCATGTATGGAGGCCACGATATCGGCATTTATCACTGTGCGACCAGAACATTTTCTGATTGCTTTTATCCACGGGACACCAACAAAATAAAGAAGATTGTGCCTGCACCCATGTGGTTTACTCCCAACGAGAGCACGCACTAACCCATGATTTAGCAGCACATTATCCTAATTACTCTGTTTTTCTGCTCACGAACAATTTATCTATGTTTGCTCGTCTTGTATTATCTTTTATCTATTCATCTTCATTATGTGGATCGTGATTATTTAGAGTATGTCCAGTATTTATGGCTTATTAACCTTGTCGTGTTAGTCTATTCCCCTTTTTTATTAACATCTTCATTCTGAATTTTTGGTTCTATAAATGGACTTCCATCAATTTAGTGTAAGTGATCAAAATAGGTTGTTGTTGAGTATTTCTTGTTGTCTTGTAGATTAGGAACTGGTCAAGATGGCTTAGTGATCTGTTTGGATTAGATGATAACGGCGAGTTAAGTGAGGATAAGAGAATGTAATGGGTTGTACTATTTTTGTGTTTTTCTGTATTAATTAAACATTAATTTACTGTAAATTATGCTGAAGAGTTGAGAAGGAAGAAGGAAAACGTGAAGAGAAAGAAAGAAAAGAAGAGAGAACAAGAGAGAGAAAGTTGTTAGGATAATGACATCATAATATTCCATTTCTCCTCATCCAAACTTTAAATACATATGTTAATGGGTATAAGGCCAAAAGCCCAAAAAGCTAAAATGACTAACATAACTCAGCCCAACACTTAATTCCCTTTTTAGCCCAAATAGCACAATTAAACCAGCCCACATAACAAACTAAAATAGAATAGAAATAGGAAAAATAAAGACAACTCAAATCGAAAACCCTTAATTTCAATTCACTCCGTCTTCCACCCCTTTTTTCCGATCAACTCCATCAGATCCGTTATCATCTCCGGCGTAATCCATCACAATACCCCCGGCCAAGCTCGGACCTTGTCCCCAAGGGCCCAAGTTCGGACATTTCCGCTTCAAATAGGCGTCATCCTCCCAGGTAGGCTTCGACGGGTCGCCGTTGACCCACTGCACAAGAGACTGAGGAACATCGACACCTTTCCGACGAATGCAGCGGTTCTCCACAACGCATAAAGGCGAGATCTTGAAGTGACCACTAGTGTCAGTGTCCGGCAAATCAAGAGAAGGTAAGCTTTTCAGATCCACCCTTTTCTTAAGTAGAGAAACATGAAAAACCGGGTGTATTTTTGAATCCAGGGGTAGATCCAGTTTGTAAGCCACAGAGCCAATTTTTTCCAGAATTTTAAACTGACCAAAATACCGAGATGATAATTTGAGGTTCTTGCGTAGAGAAACCGAATTTTGTTTAAAAGGTTGTAGTTTGAGAAAAACCTCATCTCCACATTCAAAGCTGCGCTCTTTTCTGTGTTGATCTGCAAAAAATTTCATTCTGTGTTGTGCCTTTGATAAATTTTCCTTGACTTGTTGGGAAATTAGTTGCCTTTGTTGAATCATTTCACGTGCATCCGCATTAGTTGTGTCTAGATAAGGGCCGATAGAAAAATTGGGAGGAGGGTAGCCATATAGGACCTGAAATGGGGTGAGTTTCAAGCTGGTATGATAATTGGTGTTGAACCAGAATTCTGCCAAACTCAGCCACTTGACCCACTGCTTAGGGTTCTCATGAACCATGCAGCGGAGATAAGTTTCCAGACACTGATTTACCCGTTCAGTTTGACCATCAGACTGTGGATGGTAAGCTGATGTCATGTTTAGGTTGACCCCCAAGAGTTTGAACAGATCTTTCCAAAAGTGACTGGTAAAGATCTTGTCTCTATCAGTAACAATGCTGATGGGTAGACCATGTAGTTTGTAGACACAATCTAAGAAAACCTGAGCTATATCCTGAGCAGTGAAGGGGTGTGCTAAGGGAACAAAATGTGAGTATTTGGAGAACCTGTCCACAACCACCATTATCACATTTTTTCCATGTGATTTGGGCAACCCTTCAATAAAATCCATGGATATGTGAGTCCATGCATTCTCTGGGATAGGTAGAGGTTGTAAGAGCCCTGGATAGGCACCAGCTTCAGGTTTACTCTTCTTACAAATTTCACAGGACTTAACCCATGCAGTAACATCTTGTTTCAATAGAGGCCAGAAAAAAACTTGTTTGATCCTCATGTAGGTCCCATTGATTCCAGAATGTCCTCCATATGAGGAACTATGCATGGTTTTCAAAATGGACTCTCTAAGAGAGGCATCTGCTCCCACAACAACTCTGCCCTTGAACCTTATAAGCCCTTCATGTATTGTGAAACCCGGGTAGAGACTGTTAGATTGGGAGTGTGACTGGAGAATCTTCTGGCAAAAAGGATCATGCTCATAGCTGGTCAATATCTCATTTACCCACAGGGGTTTCAATGTAGTGATAGCTTGGCACTCCTCAACAGAATTATCCCTCCTAGAAAGTGCATCTGCTACCTTATTCTCAGCACCTCTTTTGTACATTATTTCATAGTCAAGTCCCAACAGTTTAGTAATCCATTTCTGTTGCATAGGATTCATAGACTTTTGGTCCAGTAAGTACCTTAAAGCTTGTTGATCAGTCTTAATGATGAATTTATGACCCATAAGGTAGCCTTTCCATTTTTGGACAGCCATCAAAACTGCCAAAAATTCCCTTTCATAAATGGATAGGGCCTGATTCTTCTGACACAACCCTTTACTCATGAAGGCTATTGGCCTTCCTCCTTGCATTAAAACTGCCCCCACACCAGTGCCACAAGCATCAGTTTCCAGTATCAAGGGCTGCTTGAAGTCTGGCATTGCCAAAATAGGGGTTGTTGTAAGTGCCTCCTTCAGTTGTAGGAAAGACTTCTCAGCTTCTGGAGTCCACAAAAATTTGTCACCCCTCAAGACATTGGTCATGGGTTTGCTGATAACTCCATACCCCTTCACAAACCTCCTATAATAGCCTGTAAGACCCAAAAAACCTCTCAACTGTTTAAAATTCTTGGGAGATGGCCAATTCACCATAGCTGAAATTTTTTTAGGGTCTGTTGCCACCCCTTTGTGTGAGATAATATGTCCCAAGTACTCCACTTCAGTCTGCCCAAATTGACACTTAGAAAGTTTAGCATATAAGGTGTTCTTCCTCAGAACATTTAGCACCACCTCTAAGTGTTCCAGATGTTCTTGCCAGGTAGGGCTGTAGACCAAAATGTCATCAAAAAATACCAGGACAAACCTCCTCAAATAGGGTCTGAAAATCTGATTCATGAGTGACTGGAAGGTAGCAGGTGCATTGCACAAGCCAAAGGGCATAACCAGAAATTCATAGTGCCCATTGTGTGTAGTAAATGCTGTAAGCTCCCTGTGCTCTGGTTTCATCAATATCTGAAAATATCCAGACCTTAAATCAATCTTTGAAAAATACCTGGAACCATGCATCTCATCTAACAGCTCATCAATTAATGGAATTGGGTAGTCATGCTTGATAGTGAGAGTATTTAAGTATCTATAATCCACACATATCCTCCATGTGTTGTCTTTTTTCTTCACTAGTATAACAGGTGCAGCAAAAGGACTCTGTGAATGTTGAATGATCCCAGACTTTAGCATTTCTTGCACCTGTTTCTCAATTTCATCCTTTTGGGCATGTGAGGTTCTGTAGGGGGCTTGATGTTTAGGTACACTGTCTGCCTTGAGAGAAATTTGATGCACAATGTCCCTTTCAGGTGGTAACCCTGTAGGTTCTTGAAAAACATCCTGAAATTGTGATAATGGTCCTGTAGCTTAGGGTCTATTACTTCCTTGTCTTCCTCCATTGATAAAAGATAGATCTTTTCAATATCATGGCAGTCTTGATGCACCATTTTGTACAATGCTTCTCCTGATATGAAATTGCAATCCCATCTTGAAGTATTAGCTTGCAGCTTAATCTTTTTGCCCAGAACAGTTACTGTAACTGTCATTTTGTCATAATCCAACCCTATGGGAGTGCAAGTCTTTAACCAATCCCCTCCCAGGATTAAGTCACACCCCTCAGTTTTTAGAAGCCTCATGGAATACTGAAAGGTATGACCCTGATGGGTTTGACCATTTGCTGAGCATCTTGTGACCATTTGCCACCTTCACCATGATGGGTTTGACTGTTTGTAATGGGCAACCCAGCTTGTGTGCAGTAGTCTCTTGGATAAAACTTAGAGTGCTCCCTGAGTCAATAAGGATATGCAACTTATGCCCATTGCAATTCCTAGTGAGCCTCATGGTAGTTAGACCCTCTCCACCATTTAGAGCATTCAAGGACATCTGAATCTCTTCAATGTCAGTTTCCTTTAACTCTTCCACTGTGCCCTCTTCATTTTCCATGCTGGAGAATTCTTCTTCTTCTGTCATGATCATGTAAGTAATTCTGTTCTTACACCTGTGCCCTATCACATAGGGTTCATCACAATTGTAACATAACCCTTTTTCCCTCCTTGCAGCCATCTCATGAGCAGTTAACATCTTGACAGGTGGTTTAAATTGGTTATTTGGGTAGGAAACCTTAGCAGCTGATGTTTCATTTTTTCTGAAATTGGAGTGTTGAGTAGTGAATTTGTGAGGAACCTTTGCCTTTTTCACAATGGCATCCACTGTGCACTGTTGTTTCCTTCCTAGCTCAATAGTTTGCTGCAGGGTTTTTGGATCAAACATATTTATAAGGGCTTGTGCTTCTTCACTCATCCCACTTAGGAAACTGGCAATAAAGTAGTCCTCAGAAAATTCCCCATTATTGAGAAGCAACATACAAGACCTGAGCTCTTCAAATTTCTCCACATAGTCTTCATAAGAGCCAGTGTTCTTGAGTTTGTTGAATTCTCCAATTATCTTAGATTCTCTGATTTCCTCAAATCTGGAAGAAACCACCTCCAAAAATTGTGACCAAGAGCAGTTGTTATATTTAGCACAGAAATTTTGATACCATTGTGCTGCCTTCCCATCAAAATGCATAGAAGCTAAAACAATTTTTTGTGCATCCGGAATATTAGGAATAATCTTGAATTACCCATGGCATTTGAGTATCCAACCCCTAGGATTAGTACCATCGAATCTGGGAAAATCAACTTTAGGCATAGGGTTGATGAAATGAGAGTGTGAACCTGAATTCTCCAAATGCAGTTGTGGCTTAGCAAATTGTTGCTGTGATTGTTTGGGAGGAGTACTACCTTGGGTATATTGTTGAGATGGAGGGGAGCCCAATATAGATTCCTCCATTCTGGGATTTTTTTCTTTGCTTAGATGCAGCAACTGTGACTGAATGGTGGCCAAAACATTGGACACATGATCATACTTGATGTCCAGATTTCCCATTTGTTGTTGCAGAGCAGAATTGATGTTAGTGATTTTATCCTGCAAATCAGAACTCAGACCAGCCAATTGCTCTTGCATTTTCAGCTCACTAGCTTCCCTTTTCATGGATTCTGTGATTACAAACTGATCCAATCGTTTTTGATTTTCTTGCAGGTCTTTCAAGCGAGTATTCTCAGCCATGTCCAAGGATCAGTAGCTCTGAGATACCAATTGTAATGGGTTGTACTATTTTTGTGTTTTTCTGTATTAATTAAACATTAATTTACTGTAAATTATGCTGAAGAGTTGAGAAGGAAGAAGGAAAACGTGAAGAGAAAGAAAGAAAAGAAGAGAGAACAAGAGAGAGAAAGTTGTTAGGATAATGACATCATAATATTCCATTTCTCCTCATCCAAACTTTAAATACATATGTTAATGGGTATAAGGCCAAAAGCCCAAAATAGCTAAAATGACTAACATAACTCAGCCCAACACTTAATTCCCTTTTTAGCCCAAATAGCACAATTAAACCAGCCCACATAACAAACTAAAATAGAATAGAAATAGGAAAAATAAAGACAACTCAAATCGAAAACCCTTAATTTCAATTCACTCTGTCTTCCACCCCTTTTTTCCGATCAACTCCATCAGATCCGTTATCATCTCCGGCGTAATCCATCACAGAGAACAAATTGTTTCAAGGCATTTCGACTCCTCCATGTATTGAGTGATCTCATGATGCTTCCTTTTGAGATGGCCCTATCAATTTTTATTTTATTCAAGCGC